AGAGGGATTTGAATAAATACCATTTTGATCACCTTTGACTCTTCCTTGATTGAGCCGTTATTGTCCGTTGCATGCGAGTGGGAAATCCGGTGTGCCTCGAGGGTACTTTTGTCCTTTCCACCCAAAAGTCCATGTGTCACCTCTATAATTTTCTTGATTATTTTTTACTCCACAATATTTGTCTCCAAAGATAAATATTTTCAATACACATCTTAAAAAAAAATAACAAAACATTATATTTAAATAGGTACAATAGTATTTTAATTAAGTTAAACAATACCTAGTAGTTGATGTGTGAGTGTTGTATTATATTATTTAATACAAAAGAAGAACATGATACCAATGAAAACACATAGTAGTTGATGTGTGAGTTTTGTGTGTATTGGAATTAGAATATAGTTCATTGTTTCTCAACTTTTTTTTTTAAGGAAAACACGATATATATTTCATTCATAAAAGAGGAACATAAAAGATTCAATACAAATGAAGAACATGGCACCAATAAGTGGGTACTTGCAAACAAAAATCTGAAACTATAACATATGCAAGAAACTGAAAGAGACGAAAGATTCGTAGAAACCAATAAATCTCGTACTACATGATCATATGAGAGATCCAAGCTCTCAGAGCCAATTAGTTGTTAGACAGAGCAATGTTAGGTTTTTATTTGTACTGTACGAAGAAGAACATCAGCTTCATTGGCTTGGACACCAGACCGCTCGTGCCCGCCCATTATGTCTCGTCCTAAATGAAATGGCTCTCTTAGTTAGGCGCCCGAATCACCTTATGATTCCAAATTACCATTTATAGTCCATACCCAACAAAACTCAACCAGCTTACCTCAAGTACTATATACCATACTATAAATGAAATTATTACAAAAAAACAAAAACTAGGGTATATGTAAACGAATAACTAAAAAAATATAGGTGATGGGCATTTCATGATGCAAGGGATTGGTGGTAGAAGTGTCAATACATGGCAACATGAAAGGAAGAAAGAATATGAATAACGTCCTTTAAATTCTTTAAATAAATATAGTATATGTAATGTCTAATTAAATTATAGGGTTCTTTATATATAGATCCTTACAACTCTTATTTTCTAGATAAAAATCCACCTAATTTTAAACATCCAAATAAAACTCAAATTTGGAAAGGACTGTCAAATAGAAAAGATAATTATTACACATACTATTACCCCTAACATATATATACATACATTCAAAAGAATACAGTACTACTATAAATATACATACGTTCAAAAGTATACCGAACTACTTTTTATAAATACATTCAAAAGTGTATTACTATAAATATACATACGTTCAATAGTATTTTGTACTACTAAAAGTTCTATATATATATATATATATATAATTTACCTATATGTATATAATACTACTATTGACACATGTTTCAGATCCGTCGCATGTGATATCTCCTCAACCATTGGAAATAAATCCGGATTTGACTTATGACGAGGAGCCAGTGACTATTCTGGATTGGAAAGAAAAGGTTCTGAGGAATAAGACTGTGAGATTAGTGAAAGTTTTGTGGAGAAATCACTCAGTTGAGGAGGCTACTTGGGAGACAGAGGATCGGAAGAAAGAAATGTATCCACACCTGTTTTATGATTACTAGTGGTTTCTTTGTTGTTGTTGTGTAATTTCGAGGACGAAATTTTCTTAAGGGGGGTAGGTTGTGACAGCCCGTCCCGAATTATTTTATTGATGGCGTGGAATGATGATTTTGCCCTTGGACGTTAGTTGGTGTAGTGGGTGATTTGTTTTTGGTTGGTTGTTTTGTTGCCAACTAGGACCACACACACACACACACCCAAACAATCCCGTAGACTTTTTCTCTCCTTCCTCTCGGATTTTTCTACATTTACGTACAACCTGTACGGACAAACCTTCAATCAACCATTTCAGGCACGGATCGAGATCATTTTTGGTGTTTTTGAGTTCTTTGCAAGCTCAGGCACCCATTGATACCTTGGTTGGACGTGAAGCCTTCGTTTTCCCGAGAAACCAAGAATCCCAATTTGGTGCACTGTTCATGCAATTATGATCGCGAAGTTTTTAGAAGTTTTTAAGCTTCTAGGGAGCTTCAGAACGTCTTCACGAAGCTCGGAAAAGAAAAACAAAGTGTTTTGGACGTCGGGAAGTTGAGTTTGGCAAGTTTCAAGTTTGGCCGGATTATCGTGGGTTTTTCCGACGAAATTCCGTTGGATTTAAGTTCTAAAAGTGGTATGATTATGTTCTTCTCATTGTAAGCTTCATTTGGTACAAATTTCATGAATTTTGGTTGAAAATCAAGTGAGATATGAAGCTTTGAATATTTTTCCAGTTTTCGACGACGCAAACAGCGGCCAACAGCGGCTCCGGCGAGGATCACCAGAGAAGACGAAGAATATTCCGTCAACTCTGACGGAATATACTAATGGTGTTACTAACGATGTCAAGTATATATAACGGTATATTCTATTTTTGGATGGAATATTCCCTCATGCCGTTAGGGTTTTCGTATATGTGCCAGGCACGTGCCTACGCGTGGCTGGCGCGTCTGGCCGTGCCTTGGCTGACGTGTGGGTGGTTGGAAAATTTTTCTAAAAATATGGGGATGTTCGTGGTGTTGAGTAGATCACGTTGGTATATTCAAACACCCCATTTGAGCAATGTATGAGAAGTTATTAGCTAGTTTCATTTTTGTACTTTAAATTAACGTTTATATAGTTGTTTCGCATATAGGTAAGACCTATCCTCAGGACGAGCGCAGTTAATCGAGGCTCGGGGGCTACAACCCTTCCATATACCAGAAAGTGGGCTTTTGGTTTTCCGTATATACCTATATACTTGGTATTTTTCCCAGAAAATGAATTTGAATGATTATACGTCTTGAAATGCCATGCAAAGTATCTGCCTAATTTACTCATGCATTAGTAGTTGCATATATTTATGATTGGTGCTGTGGACGCACAGGTAAGTGCCAGGTAAATTTATAAATTATGGTTGTGAGATTGATGATTATGTGAGATGTGTTAAGAGTTCATAAACCTGCACCCCGGTGTTAGTGCTCTCGCCCGTGGTTAGGGCACAGTTCTTCATGTGATGTTCACCTCCCGCACCATACACTCATCTTGGATCCAAGTTAAGTGCACAGTCCTGTCGTACAGATCACTATAGGTGGTTCCGACTCGTAGGTGACCCGCGATTATTCGCACAGTCTTCACGTGATCGTAGCACTTGAGCATATTTATCTGCACCCAGTCCTGTTATACAAACCACTTTAGGTGGTTCCGACTTATGTGCAGGTATATTTGTTGAGATGTGGATTTGAGTTGTATAGGTCAAGTTAAGTGACTCCGGCTAGATGGATGAGCTCTAGATTCAGCCGTACAGGTCACGTTAGGTGACTCCAGCTGACATATCATTTGCATTGATTTATATCACCTGACTTACATATATTTTTATGCTGAGATATCTGACATGACATATTGGTGAATTTTGCTATTCTGAGCATGGTTGTGATATAGATATATATATCCTATTTTCCGGGAAATTATACAGGTTTTACGGCGAAAGGTTAGAACTTTTGAGAAATGTAATGATTTTGAAAAACTTTGTTTTTGCCCACTCACATTTTCTGTTTTGCGCCCCTCCAAGTTCTAGTTAAGAGTGCCTTTTTGGTGGCTTGCGAGGAATCCACGGCAGCTGTAACAGATTATCACCATTGTATGGTCACCTTTGGGTGTTGTATAATTAGTATTTGTCCTGCTGGACTACACTTAGGTTACTTATGCTCTAGTTGTGTATTTCACACTTAATCTCGCGCTAACACCTTATTTTAGCTAGTACTTTTAGTAGTTGGTTTTTATTTATTTGTTTTTCCCTATATCATTTTGCTTCCGCACTGTGCACATGGTTACGTCACTCTCACGTGACGGCCAGCACGCCCCTGATTAGGTTGTGGTTTGTCAACTATATGTTCAAAAAAAAAAAAAATATATATATATATATATATATGCACAGTACTAACATATATTAAAAAATTATTATATGTAATTAATTTACCTATATGTAAATTTATGATTAGCAAATAATATAATTTGTAAGTAAATTAATAATATTTTGTAGGTAAATTAGTATTAAATAAAATAATATTGTTTTATTATGTAGGTAAATTATTTTGCATGTATTAGTTTATTATGTAGGTAAATTATTTTTCATGTATTTTACATAGATACATAGGGTAAATTATTTTGAGCAATCTAACATTTTAAAATTTTAATAGTAGGTGCACTATTTGAACCAAATAACATTATTTTTTTAGGTAAATTATTTTGCATGAATTTTTACATATATTAGGCATTTTTTTATATATGTGTGTGAAATAATTTACCTACATTAATATGTAAAATATAATTTTAGTGCCTTAATTAAGCATGTATATATATTAGACATGTTCTATATTGTTATTATATATTAGACAATGAATTTATAACATTAAACATTATTGCTTTTTTAGTAAAATCATTCATTTTGCCTTATAATTCCCATGACATTAATTTTTTACATCAAACATTCAAATATGGGTATTTTAGGCATTCCGAAAATTTTAAATTTGTTAAGTCAAACATAATTAATGAATTTGTTAATATGGAATCTAGTAAACGAGTTTTATTCGAGTAAAAACACTTATGTTGGGTTTTATTTGGAGAAAATTAAGTTTTAGGGGTTAAAGTTATATTTTCAGTTAAATATAGGGAACTTTAACGAAAAGCTCCCCGTATTGTTTACTTTAACGAAAAACTATATTTTTATTCTAAAAAGTCAATTCTAATACTATTCACTTACAACACATTTTTATCATTTCCGTTAAAACTTAAAGTTTTCATTAATTTTCCTTTAAATATATGATAAAATATTTCTACTCTGATTTCAGCCTTTCTTTTTGCTTATATAAAGCCATTCTCCTCCACCTGAAGATCCATGACTCTTTGCTTGAGGTGGCAAAAGTCGTAGTAGAAGAAATATCCACGACCCCTCAACCCAAGTCTTTACTCTCTCTCTCTCTCTCTCTCTCTCTCTGTGAAGTAGGGTGATATGGGACATGGGCAATCTTCTATCCTCAGATTTCATTTTTTGGTTATATAGTGGTGAAGAGAGCTTTCTTTAGTCCATTCATGGGTGGCGACAGGATTTAATTAGCTGCCGAGTCATTCATCCAAATACTGGGTTATTAGCTCAGGACGACACCCAGTAAATGTGTGAATGAAGCGGGAGACAAATTGGATCTTGAGCTTCCTGTACTTGGACTGAAGGGAGCTCCCTTAATTAATTACTTCAGTTCCTCTTTCCTTAATTTTTATCATGCTTTAATTCGTATATATACTTAATTAATTGCTTCAATCTCTTTAATTTTTTTCGTTTACCTTATATTATTACTAATATATGAGTTATAAAATGTTTAATAACTCCATGAAAAGATTCATCTCACTTCCATCTATCCCTATTTGATATGAGCTATGATTAATGAGCTTGAACTTATCCCTTGAGTATTTTTAGCCCATATCTAGATTAGCTTGACTTTTCGCTTATATGAGTTTATCTTGTCGGTTAACTAAAAAGGATCTATATATATATATATTACTGCCTTATATAAAATTAATTTAGTTAGCTATATATCTACTAATGTATATATCTATCTATTTCTATCTTAGCTTTGGATATATGGATAAAGTAATTATTTTCGTCAGTTTCAGCTAGGGTTATGCTATATATGTTCCTCTTTCTAGGAGGATTTATCAAAACATGTCAGCTGGATTAGTTGAGTTCGATTTCCATTGCACCGAATCTTTTTTGTTCAGTTCTGCCTCTGCTTCCTCACTGACAGAATCCCAGCTGAAACTCTAAATTTATTTATTTTTCTTAACTTGAAATCCAACATATTGGTCGACAAAGAAGCACTTGTAATTTCTTTTTCCCCAGAAAGTCTATGTATCTGTGAGTTCTATTGCAGTTAGGGTTTTGTGAATGATGCTGCTAATCTGTGGACTGCAGTTGAGAGGAATAAAATATTGAAGGCAAGGCATGAAGAAGAGAGGAAGCCTACAAATTAAGCTCACACGCTCACACGCTTTACAACATTAGCTTCTTGGTTCTTGATCTCCCACAGCAACAAGTTCCCAGACATGTCTCCCACAGGCTCTGCTTCAATTACCAAAATGTCCTCTCATATATGCGTGGATACGTTTTTATTCATTTAGAGCTGGCTAAAAACTATTTATTGAGAAAAGATTTGTTGTTGTTGTAGAGCTGACTAGAAAATTGTTAAAAATAATGTTCACTTAATTTCTTTGGGTTTTAATTTGTATATATATTTTCTTCAATGCCTATATTCTACTATGCACGGTGCAGATTTAGTGTTCTTTTTTTTCTCTGTGTTGGAGTAGCTGAAATTGAAAGAAAGATGAGAGAAAATCGATTACGGCGGTTTGGACATGTGAAATGAAGGTCTACTGACGTTCCGATTAGAAGATGCGATTACGGGACACAGGTTCAGGATCGAAATGATAGAGGAAGACCTAGAAGGATTTTGAAAGACTCTAAGAAAAGACTTAAGAGTACTTGGATCTAACAGAAGATGTGATATAGAACCGTGCGCAATGATATTCTAAGGTTCATATAACGGATCTCACTTAATGAAAAAGACTTTATTGTTGTCGTTGTCGTCAATAGTCAAGATCTATAATACAACTCTCTCTCTAAGCATAAATTCACGCATGTGTTTTTTTTAAACAAGAAACTAATTACAAATCCAATTGTAATCGACAAATAATATTGTTTGAAGAGAATCAGCAAATCATACACAAGAATGGTCGTATTAATGTGATTCATGTGTTTTTGTTAAATTTGGGCAAAAACATGTTTTGTTTCTTGTGTGGTAGCTAGAAAATCTCATGCAACCTAACACCTAAAAGAAGGAACAATCGTATGGACTTCTTTACAACGCTTGTCACGCAGTGATCAGTTATTCGGCCAGTGCGGTGAATCTTATGTCCCCAGTATTCTTATTAAGCGCGTATCTCCAAATCATAAACAAAAACCATAATTATGTTGTGCTCTATGTATGTTAATGTATACATGAGCGTGAGACTTGAGGGTTTAGTGTTTTAATTTCATCAGGTACTTCATAACAGGGCCTGGCATAGTTACATGCAAATGAGTGACAGGTGCCTCACCTGCTTTTATACTTAATTACCTTCCCGAAAACGAATCTCTGAATAGAAAATACAGAACTTTAAGGAAAAGCTTTAGGTACTGTTAACTTTAACGAAAAATTATATTTTTACACTAAAAAATTAATCTTAATACTATTTACTTTACCCTTTATTTTGTCCTTATCATTAAAACTCAAAGTTTTCAAACTCTTTTCATTAGTTTTTCTTACAAAATACTCCCCAAGTTCCAATCACAGATGTTTCCACCAGTACAATAGCTGCCTTTCATTTTATTTCTTACCTCTCCAACTCCACCAAATATGTATACAAGCTTTACCTCTCTCTCTCTCTCTCTCAAAATCCATCGGTTCTTCTCTCATGCTCTTGATTGATTATTGTACCATCTTTAACAAACATTACCAATGTCTTTTTGTCATTTCAGTATATATGCAAGTGACAATTTATCACAGTGATAAAAAGAAGTCGTGCTCTTGCATAACGGCGTGGATTCAAACTCCGTTAGTGACTAATCTAACATCTAATCCAACAAAATCTATCGTTTGACAAAAAAAAAATGTATATACTTTGTGAAAAAGGTTGTTTTCACAAATCGTTTTTATGTTTTGGCAACGTATCGGTTTGGTCTTTTATGTTTTAACTCATCAGTTTGGTTATTTATTAGCTTGCACATCACTATTTTCCTTGCTGTCATTTTCTATTAAAAAAATATGTTAGTGTGTTGATGTGGCATTATGTAGGGCCTACATAACTAATCATGTGTGATGCCATTTGTATTATATAAAAAAAAATAAAACTTTTAAGAAATAGCGTTAAACTTTCAAACCATAAAATCATTGAACAAACTTCAAACAAGGGGTGGTCCAGATCAAAATCCCGATTCGAATGGTAACCCAAATTCCGAATTAATCCCTTTTGGGACGGGATTCTGAAAACTTAAATTGAACTGAAATTTCGGTATTCTCGAATATCAGGATTCTTGAAAAAAATTTAGAAATTGCAATAGATTTGGGATCCTGAAGAACAAACAAAAAGCACTAAAAAAGCCTCCCAAAAAACATGTAATTGTGGAGCCAAAAATAATTCCAAAAATCATGAGGGCAACATGTAAACTTTTGGACAAGAAAGACGAGATTACCCTCGTTAGATGGACGAGACACACCTGAATTCTCATGCGCATGCAACGGACAATAGCGGCTCAATATTCCTCCATCCATGGAAAAGTCAAAGGCGATCATTATGGAATTTATTCAAATTCCACTCACCAATCCTTCATTGATTTCATTCAATAAGGTAACTCCAAAATTCTCCTACTTAATTTGAAATAATTACCATAATATTTCAAGTTATTATTATTTCTCATAATATCTTGAATTATTTCACCCATTTCCACCATATATGACCGGCCACCCTTCTATAAATATCTCACTTATCCCATTAAAATGCTAAGTTATTTGCTACCCACAAACTCTTAAAAATACATTTTTTTTCAAAATATTAACTTTGATATCGGAGATTCTTTTGCTAAAATCTCCCCCATTTCACTGTGGACACGTGAGGCTTTTTGCTTTAGTATATTGTGTTATTATTATTTAGATGCATTTTCTTCAAAACAAGAATAGAAGAAAATTTGTATCCACAGTAATCTCTTTCGATTCTTGTCTGATTCGCCACCATAGGTGTTTAAAGAGGGACGGCGTGGCCTAGGTTTGATGCCTAATTGGAGAGGAAGCCAAACTCCTGGCCAAGATTGACGATGTTGTTAGTTGAGTTGCTGCCATTTCAGTGAGATCAGTCGAGAGAGAGAGATAGTGGGTGACTCACTGATGTGATGTCGGTGTGGTGTGATCGGATTCGAAGACGTAAATAGGGTGCTTGATGATGGGTTGAAGCGCTTTCCTTCCTTCTATAAATTATGGTTGATGTTTAGACAGCTAGAGGAACGCCTTGGTCATTTGGAAAAGGTCAAGGAGGCTTGTGATTCAGGTCAAAGGCACTGCTCAAGTTCTATTCCACTGTGGTTTTCTCTTTCTAATCTTGAAGAGAAGATGAGTGGGCTGATTAAAGCTCGTGCAATTCTGACGATGGCTAGAAAGAAGGAAAGAGACAGAGAGAGAAATCGGCGGAGGATGGGAGAGATGAGTGAGGTTCGGTTGAGAGAGACCGAGGATTTCATTTGGAATCAACGGTTGAAAATAAATGTCAACCAAATCCGACAGCTATTATAATTCTAAATATATATTTAAAATCATATTTTTTTTTTTTGCGGTTCAATTCAAGATTATCGAAAAATGAAAATGTGAGACCGATTCTCATACTGAACGGTCCAGGATCAGGTACCAAATTTTTCTAGATTTTTGGTTTGGGATTTTCTTGGTTAGGTTTTGGGATTTTTTGAGAGATTCGGAATTTTTAGAATTTTTTTCTAGCTTTACTTCAAACCAAAAAAGAAAAGAAACACCATCTTTCCTTTCAGTGGCAAATTCAGTATTTGAATCTTAGGGGTCCCAATGTTAAAAGTCCATGCTTTTTACATAGAAACATAGCGCAGTACACTCAAACAAAACTTCAATTCATTCATGGAGGTATTTCACCGAACACTTGGTGGGCTTATTATCATCAATCAAACCATGTTAGGCATATGTCAACAGATATCAACATTATCGAGTGTTGTCGATGCAACTTATCAAGATATGCCTAGCAACCATTACATCAAACACTTAGTGGTACGAAAGAGACCCGTACCAAACTTTTGAAGGGTCCCTTGAAACCTTCACATACTTGTTTCCTAATCTCTGGATGGTAATCGACCACCTTAGTCCTAATGTGCATCCGCCCTTGTCTCCATTTGTACTCGAATGTCACCCCCAACCCTCAAAAAAAAAATCTCGGTGCATTTGTGTTGACTTCACACCCCAAATTTAGTCATGCAATTCATCGTAATTATTGTTGTCTTCGAAACGACGTCGTTCAACAAGCCTTGGAAAAGGGGATGTACTTGTGCATGAGGACAGGAATTTTGGAAACTCCATGTTCTTTTTCTTCTTTTTCTTAGTTGATGCAATAATCACTAGTGTTAGTTTTAGCATTAATAATTGAGGTGTGATATCCACACACCATTTTTTACTTCTCACACACCTTCTTAATTTTCAACCGTCGGATCGGATGAATTGAAGATGATCAACGAATAGAAATTAACAAGGGATGTGTGAGAAGTAAAAGAGGGTGTGTGAATAGCACATCCCTAATAATTTTCACATTTCGGATAGGACTTTGCCGTTGCCAGTTGGTGGCCAGGCAGTGGCGGAGCCACATAGAGGGTAATAATGGCCCAGGCCTATCCCAAAAGTTTAGGTCTTAAAAATACTGTCTGCACGGCTTTACAGAAATAAGCATGCAGCTCAATGCCCGTTGCTGTTTTGCCATATCCAAATGGCCTTGGCTCGAGACTTTGCTTGTGTTTTAACATTTTTTTTGATATTTTTTAAAACTGACAGAAAAAATAAAAAAAAATTATAATAATAATAATCCTTATAATATGCCTTATCTTTTAGCATAATAAGACTAAGCCCTCCATTTTTTTGTTATAATTAGCCTTATGGTTTAACATATAAAAATCATACTCTTTTTCTATGTGAGTTAATATAAATCAAATACTAGTAGTCTAGAGCAAAATCTAATTTTAAATTATATCATAAATTTTTGTTCGAATCTTTTTTTTTTATTCTTTTTTTATCAAAGCTTGTAACACAAGTTTTTTACTTATGATTGAATTTTCCACATGTCAATTGCTGATTGATACTTCTTCAGGGTTCTAAATTGTGTGCTCATAGTTGGGATTAACGGGGAATTATGCATTAACTTATTAAAATCCCAAGTATTATAAAGTACTATCTTCCCTTTATTCTCTGGGTCCTGGATGTTCCAACCCCTTTGGAAAAGGATTAGTGTCGGTGAACAGGATTGATTTCTTAATCACAATTAATTGGTTGATTAGCATCTCTTAAGATTTGAAGCAAATTAAATATTTCTGGAAAAGAATGAGATAGTGATGCTTCTGTCTTTGTAATAGATGGGATGCCCAGCATATCAGATGAGGAGTCTCAAATATTAATATAGATATTTATTAGCTTTTTTTGTTCTAGTTAGTTCGCTCATAGGACATCTTAGTAGGTTTTTTTTTTTTCAACATGGT